ATTTTGAACATCTACTTCATACATTTTTATCTTATAGCCATAAAGATTCCTTCTTTGAAAGCCATAAACGAACAAAAGAAAAAAAAATTAAAAAAGAGAAAAATTTTAACAAACTTTAATAAAATCGAGTAAAAAGAAATAAGTGTAAATTGTAATTGATTCAAAAAGCAGATTTTCTGCACATCATAGTCGTAGCAGCCTGTTATTACAGGTGTTTTAAAAGCATTGAATAACTTGGCAAGTACAAAAAGCGCTTGGCGATGAAAAGGAAAAGCAGATTAAAAGTACAAAATTTCTTCGCAATTGAAGTTTTTCTTTTGTATTTGACCACCTACTCAGAGAATGTCTCCTATTCATGCAAACACGGTGATAGCCAGGAAGGATTACAGGTACATGAGGAAGTGTGTTTGTGCATGTTCAAAGTGAAAATCTGCGGCGAAGCGCAGTAGAGGAATTTTACAAAGCGACATATAACGCAATGTAAACTAATTATCAATTTTTCACCCTAACCTCAACCTCCCCAAGTAAGTTAGTAAATCCAAAAGTTTTAAACGTCTTTTCAACGGTTGATGTTTAATTATTGCAGTAGCCATTTCGTCATAGTGGGTCGCAAAATATTTAACTCTTCTCGTCTTGGTTTTTAACAGTCACGGACGTGTCTCAATGCGTTTTTTGGCGAGCATGCGTCCTTTGTTAAGTGTCGGACAACTTTGTTATTGCATTCAATTATGACCTTTCCTTCACGACCTAGCCCTGGTAGTAAGCTTTCCAACAGTAACGATTCTAGTGCTGGAGCTAACAAAGTCATATATTCTACTTTAGAAGTGGAAAGAGTTACAATTGGTTGCTTTTTCCCGATCCGTCAGATGTCAGATAGCCGACTAGGTGAGAAATGCGACCAACAAGTCAGTATTCGCGGGTTCAAATCTCGCTGCGGCAGGCTTTATTTTGGTATTATAGGGAGTGTTCAGTCGGTAAAGAACACACAGACTCGTTAGGCCGCAACCATCTCCCTATGTCCGCCAGTGATTGATCATTAAAAAAAAAAAAAAAAAAAAAAAATTGCGAACCATACGCAATGGGTTAAAGGCATCGTTTAATGGGTTAGGCAACCCTACCCACAAATATGTTAGAACTAATGTACTGTGCTTACTCTGAAAGAAATCACGTAGGTAGAGGGATTATGGGTATAAAAAATTCGGTCCCGATCGAATTTAACTTTCTTACTTTCTTACACTCTACTCCATATCGCTTAATATTAATATTTATATTTTTACTTTATTGATAAAATGCTTAAGGTTGTACCGTTTTCATAGGATCCCGTATATGAGAGCGGGATGCGAAGGCTGCAAATTAGTTGGCCCATATTTAATAACATTAATTTTCTTTTCAAATATCATATTATTCTTCGCCTATATTCGTAGCATAAGCAAAATTTAATTAAGCTGCCATAGAAAGGCATACTGCTCATGAGATTCTGTACACGGACTGCTCCGAAATTGTTGCACTCAAATTTTGCGATGCAGTGATTTACTTTTCATGAGATCATGAGATACAAGGAGCAGGATCCATGAAATAGATGTACCTAGTCCAAGTCTAATATAGGTAATTTTTCCGTAAAATCCACATCATTTGCGCATGTCGAAATATAATATTAATACTCATCGATTTCGAGCGAGAAATTTTTCAAACTGAAATTGTTTTTAAAATAAAGCATTACATGAGCAATGGCCGCAAAAAAGGGCCGGTCTGATCCATTTTCAACAGGGTCTGCACTTGCACCAAAACACCTCAGCGCACCAAGTTTATTCAAAATATCTCGAAACCTTGAATACAGGCTTACACAGGCTAGAGAGGCATCAGACAAACGGTCAGGTTTAGAAAATTCTCCGATTCGACCGGTATGATAAACGGGCGCTTCTTTTCAACGTCCTTGCGAGTGTTACATACATCCGCTTAACGTATCCTGTACCACAAGCGTAGTAGGGAATAGAAAATAATCGGAGCTTGAAAGAATTTCGTTACACTAAAGTCTATTGTATATCTTTTTGGACCGAATCCCCTACTCTAAATATTAATGATTTTTATTACGGTAATGCAAGGTTTGAAACACTGAAAAGCACTTTATTTCTGCTTCAGATTAGTTACAGTCTTGAGGACGAAAACCATTAAAAAAATGAAACATCAAACAGTGTGTTGTTTACATCAATATGTTTCATTTGTTGTGTGACAACAATTTAGGATTAGAAACCTTATTTGATTTATTTTTCCAAAATTAGTTTTTTTTTTTTTTGTTAATCTACGTATTTTCTTTTTGTTTCTTTTATATACACTGTGGTCCTTGCGATGGCATAAAACAGTTATTTAGAGTTACTTTAAAGTATATTTTTCATCACTTATCTGGATTTGAAATTTTGTTATTAGAGTCTGTACCTCTCAGAATAGCATTATGCGTACGAAGTTAGAAAGCATTTATGTCCTGCCAGATGTCCGAGTAAAACCGTTTGAATCATTTTAAGAACACTATTAAAATATCTTTATATTTTTAAAATTAAAATCCTAAGGGATTCAGCTTCATACGGACAAAATTGATTGGTTGTAACTATCTTCAGAATTATTCTTTCAGTCAATTATTTTCGTTGCACTTTGAAGTATTTCTTTCAATTTTGGCTTAATATTAGAAAAATTGTTTCTTTTTTTTTTTTTTTTGTTTTCATATTACAATTTGTAAATTTACTAAACAAGCTTTGTTGGCCCGATTTACCAATGAAAACTTTTTCCAAATAATATATTGCAAAAGTTTATTTGAATTTTATTTAAAAAACTTTAAAAAAACAAAAAGCAAAACCTTTTACTATAACAATAACATAAAAATTATTTTTAAAAAATTAAAAACGTTTGTTATGCTTTCTTTGACTTCATTATGCAGTACGTTTAGGGAACAAAAAAAAAAGACAACCTAATAAAAAAATTTAAATTGAATTTACTATTCTATGACAAGAAAATTAACATAGTGCCGTTTGGCTGACTCTAAAACAAGAGAAAAATAAAAAAATACAAAAAGTTATGCATGGCAGGGAGAGAACAACATATCCGCAAGTGCATGGACGAGTATTATTATTTGTGCAAACCGTTCGGAAACATTGTAGCCTAACATTGAAAAGACGTGGTAAATTTTTATAGGACATTCCCGGGTAATATTTATTCATTCTTTCCGGCGTTTTTCTGATTCATTTACTTCATCCATGAAATGAATTTCTAAAGGATGGCTTATAGTACCCACTTGCGACTATTATAACTTCTTCCTTTAATGTAAAACGTTCTAAATACAAAAGCTTTTCAAGATTTGGGCATATGTGAACCTTAGTAAGGAAAAAGATTTGATTTGATCATAATAGGATATAGCATAGGTAAGAAAAAATAAAACGATTTTTGAAAAATTCGACCCCATTTCGTAAAATATTCGTTGCAAACAGACAACAGATGTTGGTTGCTTGACTTCAGGGATTTCGGCATGTCAATGTTCGATTCACGCGAGCTAGCTAGCAGTAATGTCAATGCGTTTGTTCCATTGTGCAACACATTTTGGAAAAGAGCGCAATAGTCGTTTGAAGAAAGGCTTTCTTGCGTATGTCAAAATGTCAGTGATAGTTTGCAACTTTACTTTTCTGTAATCAACAAGAATTTTTTGAGATATTTTTCTTTTACGTCTCTCGAGGATCTACTGCGTTCAGCATCACTTCATTCTTCAAAATAAAAAGAGCAAAGGCTTTCTTGAAAGTCCTGCAACACGAAAACAAATTCTGCGAGTTATCGACTGATGTATCGCTAGGTAATAAGGTAAATCTTTTATTCCGTGCATTGGGAATCGATCCATTGTCCTGATGAAGGCTATTTTGTCTATTGCCAAATAAGATTTTCTCTCCTCAAATTCTTTTATACAATTAATGTGAAGATTTTAAAGAAAACCCGCATGTTGCAGCCAAATAATAAAATACCGTTGATATTACAAGTATTGCTGCCATTGTAATGAAAGTGGAAACTTAGTCGGCTCCTGACCACAAGGATCTTAGCAATTCTCTTCAAGGGTTACACGGGGGCTCACTGAACTTGTCCAATTCTTCGGAAATCGATGTAAACATTTTTATATTATTTGATGGGAATTTACTCCAACACTCCAACCTTAGCCAGCCTTTTTCCATCGCATTTTGTGGGTAAAAAGTAATATTTCGAATAAATTGAACTATTGTTGGCCTGATATGAATTATTAAGACTTTACTGACGGGTTGTCGAAAACAATTTGTAAACGTAGCTAACCATTTGTAGGATGATTACAATTTTTGAATTTTCGAATTTGAATACAGTTTATCAACAAAATGCTTATAGCCGAAAATAATATCAAAAAAATTAATCAGTTGTCCTGTCTAAGTTCTTTCAATGGTCGAGAAAGTTTGCAAACCAAGTGTAATGGTTAAAGGTTTTGCCCATAAGTAGCAGCCACCCGAGAGCTGCAAAAAAAACTTTTATTATTACACGTATCCCTTGCTTCATACGGTTGCATCACATATATGGGTTCTCTCCTTTTCTTGCAATGACAATAGCCTGAAGAAAGACCAAAGTTCTTGTCTGGTCGCGGATTATTTTTTTTTTTTCATGAAATCCTTCTAATAATGATCTCATATGAAAGAACTTGGAAAATAGAATACGAATTGTAATAGATTAAAAGGGCCCAAGTAAATTTTGTTAGTTCCTCTTTTTTTATCTTTTCTTCTTATCTGTAGATAAATTTAAATTTGAATGAATTAACTAAACGATGAAAAATATATGGTTTCCTAGGGTAAATTTTATGCGACTATACGTAAAAGGATCGAATTCTTTACCCATTAAAATCTCAAACACCCCACGCTTTGATGTGTAGTCGTGTCAAAGTAATGCTGCGGAAAATAATTGTTTTCCACTATTTAGTTAATTAAAATGAAAGGTTATTTAAAAAAAGTTTGTTGTATTTATTTTTTCATTTTACATTAATTAATTAAATTATTATTTTTATATTTTCTACGATGATGCTCAGTAAATAGCTACGAAACACAATTACGTGTTGTGTCGAATTTACATAGTTTTACATATAAAAATTTTCACTTGCAATTTATACGACCTTATAAGGAAGCAAGGAAAAGATGTAGTACCACAATGATGTTTTACTTATGCTATGGCGGGTGCGAGTTAGAAGGATGCGAGGCCGCATTTGCAGACGAGCAACTTTAAATAGAACCTAACTTAACGGTGAGTTTTTCAAACAATGAAGAATAAAATTTTACTTGGATTCGAATAAGATATATTGGAAAATAAATTGTCATCTTGTCATACTCCCTGGGCTAAACCCCAAAGTGACTTTGAGTAGTGTTAACACGCGTTAAGAAATATCGTATCGATTAATCGTATTTGTTGCCGACTTACACTGATGGTGTATGGCTAAAGTCCAAGCTCCTGATATTTCAGTTCTCAAGATCGCAGACTATGGACTACTATAGCTAAGTTAGATAAACCTACTACTCGAAAACACTTCGTACTCGGCATGTTGCGTCTCTAATATCTAATGTAATGTATTTTCGAATTTTTAATGAGAAGAGCGAGCGTATATGCATTTTTCACCTTCATAAGGAAATAGCAAATTTCCTTTGAACCATTCTAACTAAAGAATTGATTTCTAAAAAAAAAAAAAAAAAAAAAAAAAAAGAGAAAGAAGAAGAGGGAAAATTAACAAAAGCAATGTAAGCAATTTTATACTGCTATTAACACTCATTACATAAGACACAATACGATAAATCCACAGATACACGCACTCACAAATACGTACAAAAATCTGTATAGAAAATGGCTGTAATGCGATGCATAGTACAATGTGCGAAATAGCTAAACTGCTCTATTATATATAAATGTAGATACTTGATGTACGTACGTATGAGTGTGCGTTGTCTACATATTGCTATAAAGCGAAAAGATCGAACAAATGCGGAATATAATGCAGGATATAAAGTCTGAAAGTTAGCTAGATGTTCATAGAAAGAAAATGTGCATAGAATGAAATCACGTATCATTTAACAGCATTTTTAAAACTGCATTTGACTTATCATGTTATGAATCACACAAATACAAGTATAGCCATATACATACGTACATACGTGTATATACTCTAATAAACACTTGTGTTATTATATACGTTTATGAACTCTGAGGTTATTTATAGTTAGTTTATGCTCTTCTTCGTTCTCTCTCTCTCTCTCTCTCATTCTCTCTCTCTCCCTCTCACTCCTCAAAATAAGGGAAAATAAAGCCTAAGTATGCATTTAATATATGCAGACGAAGTAATAAATTGCGATATTCATATATATATACATATATGTATACTTATATTAAAGAAAAAAAAAAATTGTCTAAAAAAAGAAAAAAAAAGACAAAAAATTTATGCACTTTACTTTAATAAACTCGTATAAATGTTTGTGTAAATCCACGTTTGTCTCTTTCCTTGTACATGTGAGCATAAACATATACACGCATATGCACTTCAGGGACGACTGAATATGCATAACTGTGCATGTGTTTGTTATAAAAGTAAACAATAATAAAAGCTCCGAAAAGTATGCAAATTATAAATTGTTTACAAAATTGTTATTTAAAATAAAAACATGTACAAAACCTAAGGAATTTGCATTCAGCTTAAGACGAATTTCGGACACTCGTTGCTAAGTAAAGAGAAATCAATTATATATTTTTTTTTTTTTCTTTTAATATGACCGTTTCAACGTATAGTTTGGATACAGTCAATATATATATACACACACACACACACACACACATGTATATGACTATTAAGGAATTCTTTTTGAACATGTTCGATATATTAATAAGATGCACTCAAATGAAAAGAAGTCGTTAGGCCATGCATTGTATAATCACTGCCTAAGTAAGCCAAAAATTGCTGAAATTAACTGCTACCACGTTAACGCTCACTTTAAAATCAGTGAGTGCTTTGAGTGCTTTGTTTTGTTTTATAAAACTATATAGATGTAGTTTGCATTTTCGAGCAAACGCAATGGCTTTTTGTAGAAGTAAAAGGTCTAACTATGGGCTTTTCAATGGACCGTTTAGAAGAGTTTTCATATTAAATAGTTGCATAGCTTTGCTATATACTTAACTCTGTTGAGCAAGACTATTTCAACAGAAACACTATAGCAGGAGCTCAAAGACGAAGGGCTGTAATTGTGAAATCTTTTATAAGGGCGAAAGATGAGAAAAAAGCGATGAAGAATCTGGTATGGTTCAAGGAGTCGTCGTTCATATTATTTCCTAGAAACTCTTGTCTTTATCTATGGCAAATTCTCAGCTTACGATCTTCACTTATTGCTTAGTACAGCCAAGCTTAGGAGATATTCCTTCATGATTGGGCTTGCTATATCGTGGCATTCAGCTGGTCCTCTCGCTCACAGGCCGTATTATCACGAATATGAATATGTCGACGTCGTCAATGATGAAGTACTTACCAAGGTCAGCTGCCAAGCACTGTCCTACTTCAAGCTGAAAATGGCCCCATAAGTTCAATCAAAAAGCTTCAATCTTGGTTAGAAGAGATTATAGATTACATGCCACTTTACGCATCTTTTCCTCGAAGAATTGCATTTGTTCTATAAGCTAGTGACGACCCAACATCCTATTAATAAATAAATAGAGTACATATGTCAGTCGTTCATATCATTCGGTCCTTTCTCGTAGGTCAGATTTACATCTTCGGTGATGAAATATTTTTCACCTTACAACTGATGTATGATGAGCAAAACCCACTTTTGTAAATTGTTTTGATTAATTTTTCTTTAGAAAACAAAAATATTAGTTTTAAAGAAGAATAATTTTTAGTATTAACTTTGAATAATTTTAATGTAATTCCTACGTGTACATTAAAAAATTAAAAATTAAAAAAAAAAAAAAAAAAATATTACTAAAATCAATAAAAAATTTGCTTAAATTGTACATTTTTCCAATTCACAAAGTTAAGTATGACGCTTGCAACGAAACATAGCACGCAGGCAATATATAGCAGTGGCATCTCAACGTGACATTTGAAAACTACTTTAGTATTATTTTTAATATTATTATTATATTTTTGACTATGATATTACAGTAAAATTATAATATTTCGGTTTTTAAAAAAAACTTCATAAAGATGAACAAACACACTTTCCAATGTATTCGCATAGTTTTCATTAATTGTAAGCTTTTCAAGAGAGTGTTTAAGGCGTCACCTAAACAGGGAAAGTTTGCATATCTTCGGCGCATTATGACGAAATGATGAGCAATTTTTCTTAAAAATTTCAAACTATGTCTGTCGGGACACTTTCAATAGCGCAAGTCTACATGGGAAGGGCAAATATAATAAATCGTATGAAGAATGCAAAAACATGACAAAGATTCTAATAAGCACTTACGACAATTGCAGGCTATAGTGAAGTCGAAGAAGTGAACTAATATTCGGCACTAGTGAACATAAATATCACGTTCACTTGTTTATGTACAAACACTTGCATATATATATATGTATTTAAAATAAGCACACCTTTATTCATATACATTTTTGTGTATATTTAAGAGTCGAGGCATAAACTTAACATGAGCACATAACCGAAGACAAGCAAAACAATTACTCTTATTAAAATGGTCTTTTGCTTATCTTTTCGAAAAACCAAAAACTACTGAAACCACAATACAAACAAATAAATGAATTGTTTTTGAATCTTTTATTATAAATATTCAAAAATTTTATTTTATGTAAATTGTTTTTTTTTTTAAAAAAAAAAATAATAATTTTTCCTTCCCTTCAGTAATAATAATAATTAAAATCTCCAAATATTGAAATAAACACAAAATATTTTGACCATAAATTGATTGATTTTATGGCCCAAGTGTTTGTTTGCATGTTTATATAAAAATGTTTGCTTGAGCATACCAACAAATATTTGCGTTTGGAGAAACGTAAACATAAACATAACAAAGAAAATAAGATGTAAGTTATTTTATTAAAGTAAAGATTACCTTGCGGTAATCTCTTTACAATAACTTTAAATCTTAAATCATTTGTTTAGGATATTCATTACGTTCGCTAATCTATTATTAACTATTCTCAGTATTTTGCAATAAATATGATTGTGTGACTAGCACTGATGACTTTTCCAAGGTCTCAACGTCAAAACGTAACTTTTAAGAGTTTTTTTTTTTTTTTTCTATTAGTTAAGTAAACAGCACTGTAAATTGTTTATTTCTAAATTTGTAAACAAACTATGAACAGTTCTAATTGATAAGAAAGCGAGCATATTTTAATAATATGCGAAGCCATAGAACCGATACTGCTTTACATTCCAAACCATAGGAAAACTCTTCCCAATAAAAGTAAAATTCCTTTTATTCCTTTACGACCAGATGGAAATGAGAAAAGAGAAAGATATAGGGAAGCGGTGACGGTGTGTCTGATAGGTGTATGCCTTTGCAGACTGCTCATCTACTATAGCTACAAGCCATAGAAAACTCCACAGCAGTACAGATCTGTACCCGCGAACACTGACTTCGTGGTCGGATTTCTTATCCACTGCGCTACTTATTCGGATTAAGTTCGATTTGCTTAGCTCTCCCCAATCGACTGTGAAGCTAAAAGGCGAAAGTTTTAAATTTAAGAGTGCATTAGAAAAAGCTTATAAAAGTTCAGTATTCCTCTTGATGGTATGGATGCGGCCTGAAGTATAAAAACTAATAAAGTTCTCACTGCTTTTGTAAGACTTTCATAACCAGGCCATTTATCTTCTGTAAGATTTTAAAATATACGTTTAACGACTATGTAATTCAATAATTTCTACAAGCTTTGTGGTAAGGGCATGCTGGGTTTGAAAAGGCAAACACAACTTTTCTTACACAATTCAAAAACATTTTCTATACTGTCTGTCCGTTTGAGATCTGTTGAATTTCTTGTTTCAAGTACAGGCCACAATTTGCTAGTAATTCGATACATTGACATATTTAGCTCTGGCACGATACCCTAGTCAAAACATATCGCACCAGGCGATCGTTACGGTCACACTAATAGCAGGGATGGGCAACTTTTTTCAACAACGGCCAAGCGTGCGAGCAAATTGAAGTATTTTAAACGCTTCGACAACCTCACGGGCCAGATGCGGCATGAGGGTCGCGGTTGCCATACCTGCCTTGGTGTATGTCATATTTTGAAAAATTCGCTTTATGAA